TTAATAGCTGTGACTTACCTCTCGACCGTTTAATCGGAAGAGAGGTCAATTCTAATTTATTTTATTATTTAAAAGATATTGGCTTTTATTACCAAATGTAATTTGTTTTGAAGACTGTCTCTTGAATTTTAATATGTGCTTTTACCTTGTTTTTTATATGACTTCATCCTCTGGATTTGGTACATTTATCTACTTGTTTTTTATTATTGAATTTTAATGTCATCAATTGTAATCATCTCATCTTTTGTTTGGCGCGTCATAATCATCTCTGGTTTTTGCGCCATAATCACTCACTCACTCACTCACTCTTAATTTAACTCGGGTGGAAAAAAGTCCCCCCATACTTTGCCATTGCCCTTAATGTGGTTGTTAGAAATTCATTAATTTAAAATGAAATAAAAAACAATTCAATTGGGCTTCAGATTATACGGGTGGAAATACGTATTCAAAATGATAGCTCTGGTACCGCTGTTTGTCACTGTGGAGAAACATACATACATTTATGCAGATTCATCATTATGTAATTTGTTTAAATATAATACAGGGCTCTAATATTTGGTGGCAACAATTTGGAAAGTGAATTAACATTTATAGTGAATCGATACAAAATGCCGAAATGAAATTAATACTCCTTTTGGGCAAATTGCCCCTTTGTGCTAATAATTATGTCTGTCTTCTGGCTCTGATTTCCAGAGTATCGTGTTCTTTATTCTTCAATAAATAATCTTTATTTAATAGAGATTTGGATTGCCTTTGATAACCAAGTTGCTAAATATTGGCAAGTAAATGTTTTTTCTGGAAATTTTCATGACTTGTAAACATTTTAACTGCAATATCTTTTTACATATTCTTAAGTAACTGGAACTATAGCTGTGATTGGATCAGACGTTTTTTCCAGTAGATTATAACTCTGAGACTTAGGCATTATTACAGAGTTAAAAGGAATCTTTTGTTGTTGAAAGTGGAAGGTTTTTTTTTTTTTCATCGCTGCCACATCGTTTCAAGCTGAACCAATTTAAAATAATGCAGGGCCAAAGAAACAGGATTTTTTGTTAAGCCTGTCTTAGGTAGGTTTTATAAGGGAAACAAAAATAGTGCATTTTTCTTGATGTTTAATGTTTTATGCAGATTTAAAGGAATATTTTTTAACCGACATTAATATATCATTATGATCCATTACATAATACACATCAATAAATTTTAATAAAAATAATTGAAAAAATTTCAGACTAAGGCATTTTTATGCAGATGGAAATATTGTTAGAAAAGGATCCGGTAGCTTTTAGAATCTTAGCACTGGGACCAATTTTCATGGTTCTAAATGGTTATCTAAGTACAGTACAAAGTCTGTAATCTGGATGTCCATAATCCGGAATGATCTATAATCTGGACTTCAAAGCTACAAACTTTATGTGCGTTTAATGTATAACGGACGGTATAAGCTAGGCTAAAATTATGTTGCAGATTGCATTGTTCCTTAATCTTCTAACTGGATTTGGCTTATTATTTTTCGCAGACTGTTAGAACAATTTTATAAAAAATAAACTTGAACTTTCGATTATGTCAAAAAGAGTTTCCAATTCTGGAGCTGCCAAAGGATATACAAAGCGAAAGCATGTTTCAATGTCCATTAAACAAAAAGTAGAATTGCTGCAAAAAATGGATAAAGGCCTATCTGTGTCAAAATTATGCAAGAAGTATGGCATTGGAAAGTCCACAATATATGACACAAGAAAAAGGAAGTTTTTGAATATTTTGTGGAAGCATCTTAAACAACTTACATTGAAAGAAATGTTTAATAAAGTAAACAAATAAATATTAAGCTTTTTTTGTAAATTTTGATACCCTTTAGATCATAATTGTTCTTTATTTCATAAATTGCGATTTTATATTTTTAATTGTATAATTTCTGCATGCCATCTTACCAGATTTAAATTGATGATGATCTATAATCCGGAAAAACCCCTAATCTGGAATCGCCAAAGTCCCGACGAGTCCGGATTATGGACTTCTAAATTTTGGACAAAATTTAATTCTAACTTCTAAATTAATTCTTCTAATTTCTTCTTCTTCTAAATTTAATTCTTCTAAATTTAATTACTTCTAAATTTAATTTTTCTAAATTATGGACTAATCCGGATTATGGACTTCTGCAATCTGAATTATGGACTTTATTATTATTTTCTATAGTTAATCTAATATTCTACTTATATAAATTTTGTTCTGATATTTGTTTGAGTTATTCTAATTTTTTAATAAGAAGTATAGCTTCTAATAGTTATAAAAGTAAGAAAGGGGATATTTTTTGTTTTACACAAATTGTTTAATTAATTTTTTATATATTTGTTTTCTCATAAATACAGTGTTGAATGGAGTAATGAAAATTATTGCCATTCTTTTAATATTAGAGTTTCTCTTTGTATGTGATATTACAGGAATGATGATCTCAGCATCAGAGTTTTGACTGTAATAAGAAGGATAATTTTTAATGTGATTATATAATTTTCAATAGTCTCTCAACTTTTAAGGTAGATTTCCACTCTGGGATAAAAAAATATCTTCTGGAGAGTAGAGAGGCTGTGGAGTGACATATATTTCTTGTTTAGCAATAAATGTTCATGAATAATGAACGATAAGGAATAAGGAACGTGTGCACATCTTATTTCTCTGAACATCAGGCCTATTCCATAAAACTGTTTTTATTAAATACCTCATAACATCCAAATAAAAGTGTACACTGAATTTTTGACCTCATTTAACAAACTTATAATAAATGATTCTTAGCCAAACTAAAAAGGAAACAACATCACCTTCACATTTGATTGATTCTGTCGTGCTTTTTTTGCCAACATGATGATCTCCTTTTTTGTTTCAGTGTCATATTTCTAAAGTCATACTTTCGTTATGACATTTAGAAAGTTTTGTGCATTTGAATGGTCTGTCTAGCTATGATACGATTCATTTTTTGCTCATCAGTGAAAAGACAAAGCAAAAGTTTTTCTGCCATGCAGTGCATTTGCAGATATTCAGTCAAAATTGTGACATGAACTTTTATTGATCCTTAAATCTTCATACTTTTCAAGCTTTTTTCATTTTTGAAATGTAATTGTCAAACATGCAAAATATTGGTTATCTCTACTGCTCATGAAGCAATGATAAAATGATACGATGTTCTTTAAAAAAAAAGAGGGAGAAAGAAAACAAATACAGGATCAAAGCTAACATTACATTCGGAATCTTGCTGTGTGTTACACTTCTAGTTTGCCGGCTGCTGTGTTACACTTCTAGTTTCAAAGTCTGATTTCTTTTTTGATGGACCTCATATAGACTACATGCTTTTTCATAATTTTTTTACCAGAGTTAGAATACAGGCTATATTCATGGCAAGGAACAATTTTAAAGTAGTTTTAATGAATTCTTTTTTTAATTGTTTATTTTTAATAATTGTCGCTTGGAAAATATAAAAACTGTAATCAAAGTCTTCATTTGAAATTAACATATATCAGTTCTATTGTTCATATGCAACTCCATTGTCACTGCTAATATAATATGAGTTTTCACTCTCAAATGATATGAAATACCTTGCATCACTTTCTGGCCCATCCATCATGTTGAAAAATGGATGTGACTTTGAAACTTTTGCGTCCCAAGACTTCTGGTGTTAATTTTCATGAAGCTAGAATTTAGCGTATCTGAAACAAGCATAGTTTTCTTAGTCACTTGGTTAGCGACATCTCTGTAGTACTATATCTCAAGTTATAGTTGAGACATTACAGATGAGTCTTAAAATAATGGTTAAGTAGCTGTGGAATTCCTGTCATCCCTACAGGTACCATAACCTAATACTATTTCTTCTGCATCTTTTTTTTTTTTTTTTTTTTTTTTTTTTTTTTTTTTTTTTAACAGATGACTTCAGAAGCTGTCAACAATCAGTATGGGCCATTAATGTAGTATTGTACTTGAAAGTCAAAAAATCTTGACTTAAGCCAATCCATGTAAAGATTTTTGTCATCCAGCCGTGTTGAATTTGCACCAATACTCCAGGTGGAATTTTTTTCTTTTGGCAGGTTTTACACTTAAAAATAATCTAAGGTGACAGTTTGATTTCTATCAGCAGTGATGCACAGCATTACAGTGCAACACTACTTTTCTTCTCCTGATTTGCAAAGAATAGTTTTTTCATTTGCTTTCTTTACTGTAGTGTCAACTGGCATATCAGAGAAGACGGGAGTTTCTCCAGTATTGCCCCCAAATTATAGCCATCTGTCTTTCTGAGGTCAAGATGGGTTTTTTAAAAGTGAGTTGTTCTCTTTCTTGGTAGGTATTGCGAGTTGTTTCTCTTGGAAGTTCTTGCAGCTTGAATTCGATACCAGATCTTGAGCTTAATATTATGCCATGAAATATTCTGCAATCTGATTCCTGTAATCTCCCTTCACTTTCAACAGTTTTCATATTTTGAGCAATTGTTTGGCCTTTGAACTGAGTAATTTCAACAGGTACCGAAATTCCATTTGTCCAAATTTTACAGATATAGCTCAACAATTTGCACTTAGGTGAGGATTAGGATTTTATATCTATGTAAAACTTCTTTTCTGCTATTTGATTTCCATTTTCTTGTGCATAATACACCACTTGGAATTTGTTAGAATTCCAAGATTTAAGTTTTTTTTTAGAAGTTTATGATTGCACCTCTACCTATGCAAATGTATTAGGTACCGTGCTTACTATAGGAGATGGTGAATGTTTAATTTGTCAGTGTAAATGCATTTCAAATGGAATTTAATAGAACTACAGGCACTTTAAAAAAAAAAAAAAAAATGTCACGACTTTTGTCAGCAGCTTTGATAAATTTGATTGAAATTAGTTTTGCTGTGAGGCTTACTGGCATATTAGAAAATGCATTTCAAAATAGCTATAAATAATAAAAAAAGTTATATGTTTGACAGTTTTGTGTACATTTTTCTTATCATTTCCATTAACATTTAATTATTTTCTTTCAGTGCTTGGCTGATATTGTGAAAAACCATTTGAATTCTGAAGAAATATGTAGCCAGCAACTATTACTTCGATGTCCATTATGTGCACAAGCTACTTGTGATCAAACAAAAAAGTGGTTATCAGATTTGAAGCATAAAATGAACATCTAAGCTCACTGTATCGAGGGTATTTTTGGTGGCAGAAGGGTTAGAAAATGAAATTGTTTTCTATTTTATATTACCACCCTTTCTGAAGAAGATAGAGTGAGAGATCTGTTAATAACTGGTGTTTTATATATATGTGATATGTATTTGCTTTTCCTTTTACATATGCAATAAATGAAATATTTTTATATTTTTCTAAATGAAAACATGAATTTCATATATAAACTAATACAGTCGATTCCGGTTAATCGGATCACATCGGGAAGCGATCGTTTTGGTCCTAATAACCGGCTGGTCTGATTACACAAACATGTCCTATGTTTAAGATTACACAAACATGTCCTATGTCCTATGTTGTAAGACGGGACATGCTATATGTAGCAAACAGTAAATGTACATGTAAATCATGTACTAAAATGTAATTATTACCTTTATTAATATTGTATTGTACGGTACACACGTACTAAAATGTAATTATTACCTTTATTATGTGGTACAAACAAGAAATACAGTCGAACTTTTTTCATTGAGAAAATTAATTTAGAAACAAATTCAAAGAAACAATCTCCACGATACTCAACTTGTGAAGCACAATAAAAGCAATTTCTTACCAAGTTCCAGTCACAGGGTTCGTACGGTCCTTAAGTCCTTAAATTTTTTGGAATTGATTTTTGGTCCTTAAAAGTCCTTAATTTTGGCCAAAATCAGCAGAAGGTCCTTAATTTTAATCATCTGAAATTTCTGTCTGTTTTTTTTACTGCCATTTTGAGTGTGAATTAGCATTTTGGAGGAATATTTTTAGCGATTCACTGACATATATGGTTATCTTTTGAATGGGTTCATGGGTTATAATTTGTTTCTATTTCTAATAAAAATGATGGGATACTCGAGTTTCTAAGCAAGAAGTGAAATATAAGTATTTCGAAATTCCTTTTTTCTAATAAAGAACTCTTAAACAACTTTTCACTTTTGGGGATGTGAATTTTTATTAAAGAGCTCTAAATTTGGCGACTTTAGGATCAGTTTCTGTAGAAAATTTTTACTTCCGAGATCTGACAATTTTTCGACCAGTTTTTTTAAAGCATCATAACATTGATAAATTTCATTAAAATAATGGTAATATATTGAAATTATATATATAAAATAACATTAAAATAAAACATTCTATTTTTCGCTGTCATATTATAAAGTTTCATTTTGGCAACTTATACAATATTATGAATCTGATAAATAAGGCATATTGCTATAAAGCATAATTTACAAAACAGCTCTTAGCAAGAGCAAAATTAGCTATGCAATTAATTAAAAGTCTTCTTTTTAATTTTTTCATAGTAAGCGTTTTCCCCATGCAATGGTCTCGGAATATTCAAAATTCTCAGAATATGCATCAGTTTTCTCTATAAAATTAATTTTACACTTTTTCCCTCCTTTTTTTTCAAAATATTTCTGACTTTTTGCTGTTACAGAATTGGTAGGGATAATTTTTCTTTAGTATTTTAGACATTGCAGCTTGGAAAGTTTAGAAGGGTTTGAAGTCAAGATTTATAGACCCACGATTCTAGAAGATTCGAGAAATATGTGACAAAATGAAAAATGTCTCCATGATATCGACACGTAATGGATGTATTTTACAGAAAGTTTGCAATGAATTTCTTACCTTTTGGAGAACATCTGGAAGAACAATGAAAACATAATATTTAAATGTTTTGCTCCTGATACTAGAATCTTTTTCTTAACATGTTTATCTTCCCTTTATTTTTTCTACTTTTCACTAGACACAAGCATAAAAAATATCAAAAATGCTTCTAATCTTATCACTGCGCAGGCATTATAGAAAGGGATTTTTTTATTAATAAAGAAATTGAAAACTTACAATTTAAAAGATTCATCTAATATGCCTTAATGCATCATATACAGAGCTGGCACTAGGTATTTTCCCACTTGATGCAATATCTGTGAATCCTAAATTCTAAACGTTTTCCTATTTCTAGATTTTGTTGTTCGGTGTGTCACTAAATTCTAAAAATTCTGTCACTCCAGCTTTGTAACCGTGCTTTACCATATATATTTCATATCTCTTCTGAATGTTCATATTACTAAAGAAATAGAATCAGCCACTTTTTTTATATATTCTAAATGCATTTAGATTTTTTTAGAATAACAGAAATAATAAGATCCAAAAATTCTAAAATGAAAAGGAACCGTGTTGAAGAAAGAAACTGAATACATAAAGAAAATTACTTCTCAAAGATATGTGCAGTTATTATTATGTAACTTATCCAATTGTTTATAATTTCAGCCTTTCGGTTTATGATTCAGTCGGGGGGGGGGGGGTTTGGGACTATTTAACTTTTACCAGATGAAGTAAATCCTCATAGGTACCTTGTGGAGATGTTGACAAGTTAGGAGATAAGCATGCAGAAACTAGCGAGAGCATTGGTTTGCATATTGAGACAACTCTCTAATTGTTAGTAAAGATGATTAAAGAGAAGGAAGTCGATATAATATTTTGTTGAGTGTTGTTACAAAACTGTAATATTAAATGATAGTTTAAGAATCAATGTCATAATTTACATGTATTTTAAACTGTGAAATTTTATTAGATTTTGATTTTAATAGGCTTTTTTAACAAATATTGTTAAAAAATAAAATTTAATAGTGGCCATGTAAATCCATAATGACTAAGGTTATCTAATTACCTAATTTAATTATTTATAACTAACTGCTTACCCTTGAAAGTTATTTCTACATATTAAAGTGAGTTATTGCCTTTCATTAACACTTACTGTGGTCACAAGATAAAACACAAAAATTTAAAAATTCAAGTAAAACTTATTCTATGCATCATTCTTTGCATCTAGTGAAACTTAAAAATAATACAAAACAACTTATCATCTCTGGTACTTTAATCGCTTATTGGAACATTAAAGTATATTAACTGGGCTACAATCCCATGGAACTCTACACAAAGCTATGACACTAACTGCATCAAACAGAGCCTGACTAAGTTTCAACACTTGCCAACTGTGTCTACATCAGACCTTTCAGGTTTGTTCTAATGAGCAGGTCTCTCTCTAGACAAGCAACAGCGGTGACAACATTCAGTTTTTTGTTATGAATCATGCTGATTATCTTACTTCTCATTTTAACCTATACCATTTGATGTAAAATCTACCTGCTATTTACTAAACCTCTAGACTGACTAAGTATGTAACAAAATGAGACATAAAAAAATCAACATAAAGCTAACTATTAATATAACGTAAGTAAATGTCATCTTCTTTCAAATATGTCCAACTATTATAAGTGTAAAATATTTAATCCTACTTGATAAATTGTATAATGTTCAAACTTATTAATCATTATGTTAATTAATTCATGTTTAGTAATAATGCATACTACTCAGGGATCTATTTTATTTTTAGGATGGTATTACAAAAGTGAAATTCAGGCATAGAATAGTATTTTTAATTGAATTTATTCAGTTCCCATTTGCTCATAGGTTCTTAATTTTTTCATTAATGGTCCTTAAAAGTCCTTAAAAGTACTTAATTTCTGTGTGCAGAAATGTGTACGAACCCTGAGTCAACATTTGAAGAACTTATCCAATGTGATCTGACGCGTTTTCTTGACGGATTGCACGTGAACAAAATTGCCACAAACATCTAACACAGCAATGGGACTGCCTTAATTTCCCTCCTGCATGAAATACCCACACAAAGTTTCAATGCATTTCCTCGCATCCTGTGTTGTCACTTGCACCAACTTATTAGCGGCATCATCATCATCACTTTCTTGGTCTTCCGATGCTGTCATGTGTTTTGCAACTCGAGCAACAATTGCAGTATCGTAATCTTCATTTTCATCGTAGCATTGAAGCTCATTGTCAATTGATAAAAATTCTTCGCAATTTTGTGCCTGTTGAAGTTTCCAACATGTAAATCATCATTTTCACTTTCAATAAGCATGATCACATCCATCTCCAAAACCAAGTACTTAAAGCCACAGTGAAAAAAAACAGTTCTGAATTGTCTCACTGTTCACTTTTCGCCAACTGTTGGCCATAAATTGTAACTGCTTGTAAGATATTGACCTTTGCACTGGCTTTTGACGATGAGGTCAGCAAACTTTCTTCAATCGCTTCAAGGCTGTAATTAACCAACCTTGTACGATAAAGAGTCTTCAAATTTTTTATGATGCCCATGTCCATTCGCTGGACCAAAGCTGTGGTCCTGGGAGGTAGAAATTTCAGTTGGACATTCATAAAACAATCTAAATGAGGATATGCTGCACAATTGTCAAGAAGAAGCAGCACTTTTCTCGACTGGCATTGTAGCTCTCTGTCCCAATCCCTCAGCCATTCTTTAAAAAGTTCAGAGGTCATCCACGCATTTCTGTTCGCATGATACACAACTGGTAAACTCTCCATCCTAAGTCCTTTAAAACAGCGAGGCTTAGTGCTTTTTCCTATAACCAACAACTTCCTCTTGTCTGTTCGTGACATGTTTGAGCAGCACAAAACAGTTACGTGATCCATTGTTTTTTTGGAGACAGAGAGTGCGACATGTTTGTAACTTAACGAGCCATCTGGTGTAGCACGATAATACAAGCCAGTAGCACGATAATACAGCCCAGTCTCATCAGCATATTAGATGTCATCTGCTGAAAAATTTTCGAGAAGCTCAAGCAGTTTTGTTGATTTCCATTCTTCAGCATTTGGACTATCAGCACTTTCTTTCTCGCCATGTGCTTTCCTGAATTTTATCTCACGTCTAGATTTCCATCGAGACAACCAACTGTCCGTACCTTTAAAGTCATCGGGGCTTTTTAGTGAGTTCTTCTGCTTTGCATTTTAACCTTGGGCCCCTAATTCGCACAGATCGTCCAGTAACAATGGCAAACCATTCATTAAGAGCCTCATCGACATCTGGGTCCTTGCCTTCACGCTTCTGTTTTTTGGAAGTTCCTTCTCGTCCTTCACATTGTGCTCATTCTTCTCGCAGCTCATTCTCGTGTTTTATCAAGTGCGAAATTGTAGTCTTTGCCAATCAGGTTATTTCCACCAACTGATGCTGACTAGTGTTTCGTGGTTGTTGCTTGATCTTATCCAGGAAACCAATTTTTTTCAGCTAATGTCAAGTCCCATCATGGCATTTTGGCACGGGAGACAAGACATGCGCACAGTTCACTAACTAAAATGGTCTGAAGCAACCTTGGTGTTTCAGGTTCTAGGTGTTGAGGTCAAGAGGGAGATAAAATGCTCACCATTCAAAGCTTTGGCACTAAAATCATCCCAAAAAGGTGATGAAATGATAGCTTTCTCGTGTAAATTTTAATCATGATTGACAGGCGGGAATTTCTTTCAGGTGGAGCCAGACACTCTATTGTTCATTTCCTCGAAACTCGGAGGCACAGGTCAAAGAAAATGGTGTGCGTGTTCACCTCCCACTGGTTTTGCTTTTGTCATCCACTTAAGGAATTCCTGACCTTTGATAAAGCATTTTCCTGGGGATCCGCAACTGCAGATCCTCCCATATGTTGCAGACCACCTGTACATCCGCTGTCTGCGGCCGACTTGTGGCATCTGTTTCTTATTCCCTCTCACGATTTTTGGCCCAAATAAGCGAATAATATTAGGCTTACGTATATAGGATTTGTTTCGGTTCTTTAGGATTCGGTTAAAAAAAGTGCCTGATCCGATTATCCGGTGGTCCAATTAACTGGATTCGACTGTATTAAGAAATCCTTTGAAGCATAGTGATTGAGTCAAACAATTAATACCATTAGATAATGGAAATATAAAAAACAGAAAAAGAAAAAGCTTTTTGAGAAATTTTTAAAATATTTTATATTGAGACAGGACACTTCTCCAAGGAAATAAAAATGTAATTTTTCCAAAAATGAACTGAATTGTAAATAAATCAGAACTGTTATACATACATATATATGTAATGAAAGCACAAATTTTGGAAGCACTGCATTGGAAGTTAGTTCCACGCACGTTTTTTGAAGAATTTGCAAAATTAAGTAAACACCATGTTTGGATACTCGATGATATCTAACTTTAAGAACGATGAACTTGCAGATACTTTTCCCATTGGAGTTCTAGGCAGCAGGTGTCATGATATAAAATGAATTATTTGGAGCTTGGGGGTGGCGTAATAGATGAGTAGCGAAGAAACTTTTCAAGGCAAACGTGTCCAGATTCAAGATAACTTTATTATTGAGGAAAAGCAATTCGGGATTCACAATAGTTGGTTCACGTACGGACGAGCGTCTTATGTGCTCTACATTTTTGTTAGATCAGCACATATTCCTTGCACAAAGAAGGTAGCCGCAAAGCTTCTGGCCAGGAGGAAAGCTTAAGCGAAAGTGACACATCAGTTCATAGAAAGAAGGGAGGGAGTCAGTTTTTAGTTATGGTTTACAATTCAGTGATTGGTCAAGAGGCATCTGCATTAAGGGTTACGTAAGAGCGCATGATTAATTTGAATGATGCAGTTTAGACTTAATCGCTATTTTTAGGACAGATAGATGATGTTCCCAAATGAAATAGAAAAATAAAAGAGGTTATAGTGAATTAAATTTATAAGTTTGCTTTCGTATTTTTTATCTTACACACGTATATATATGTAATAAAAAATTTGAGGTAGTTACACAAAAGATGCACAAAGAAATAACTTACACATAATGATGCTTATATGCTTGCGGGTGAAAATTTCTTTTTATAGCAGACAGACATGGATATTCACATCCTCTTTAAGTTTTGTGTAATTCATTAAATAAAACTGAGTAAAATAATGTATAAGTACTGAGGTAGGTGATCCACTATCCCACAGTTACATTTCACATAATTAATAGTTGGTAGTAGAAAAAGGACAGATGGCCTTGACAGCAGGAATCAGATCCAGTCATGATTCTGAATAGTGTGGGAGCGCTGAGAGCTGGGAATCCGAGGAACTAAAGTTCCTATAATCGCCGTACTTTAAACAGATCCTCGCGCTGCCTTATAGGGGGGATCCATCCATTTGCAAACAGGGGTTCTCAGTTTCGCTGAGATGCGTCAATTTATTTGATGCTTTGTTTTTCAAATACTAGATGGAACACAAGCAAGTCAGAAGCGCACGTATATGCATATATAACACACAAACACATATAAAAAATAGGTCAGAGACTTAAGGAATCAAATTTTTGGCACTCTTCCCAAGAGCCCTCAGTGAAATGGAAGAACTGTTTTTTCGTTTCCGCAGGAGCACTGGTCACTCACTCAGTATAAGGGAATCGTTTCTTTGAGTTGATTCCGGAGTGGATCGTCCATCTCTAATCGAAAAAGAGCTCACCTACGCCAGTTTCGGATAAATTGACTGTTTCTTATTGCAGGTGTCTAATTGGCTCTCAGGATCGCTAGATTCAAAGCTAGTTTCACGTAGGAGAAAATTTAGTCATATGCATAGCTCGGCCACAAAGCCGAAAGCAGCATGCAGTATTTGTTAAATAATTATTTGTTTAGTCGGGAATAAATCCTCAAGTTTATTGTTTTATACCTCACATCACGTAACCGCTAACGCTAAAAGCTTTCCTTTCGAACCGATGACAGAAAAAAAGGATGGTATGTTTAAAAAAGTTCTACTTAAAATTATAATTTAAGTTTTTTACAAGGTTTTAATCATTATTTCAGTTCATTTTGCATGCCGATAATCACTGTTTTATACCATTGTTTTGAATATCTTTACTCAACTTTACACTAGTTGTAGAACCCGGTGGTGGGTATGCTTGGGTTTAAGGCATAGTATAGGGGCTTCATTAAGACGAATGAGGATGGTTTTTCAAAATCTCAAGGAAATGGTGCTTTTCCTCTTTTTTTGGTTTAAGTTGAATTGCGCAAAATTTTACTAAGTTTCAATAAAACTGCAGAACAGCGTATAACTAACCAGCGGCACCATGTAAGGTCTTAGTAAGAACTGGCACTTACTTTGTTAACATTTATGTCTTTTTTTCAAAAGTGAAATTTCGGGAAATGGCCATCCACTTTGGCCGATTTCTTCACGCTTTTGAAATATTCGCGAAAGACTGATGACTCTTAGACTCTGCTTTAAAGTTCTACACTTCTGGAAAGTTTTATATTGTTCAAAAGAGTAAGCAAACACTGCGCCATCTAACGGTTTTAGTAAGAACTGATAGCGGGAACACAATAACAGTGACATGAACCTATGATGGGTGACGTGATGTCAAAATTAAAACTGTGTAGAAATATTAATATTTAATTTTTTTGAAAATTCCTTTCTTAGCATATGTCACTTCTAATGGCGGAACGCAACAACGACGACATGCACCTAAAGTGAGATGAGCCCAATCTTCTAATAAAACCTCCCTGAGTGTGAATCCCGTGGGGCAGTTTTCCGAAATCTTAGCTAGACAGTGACCTTCCTCTTGTTTCGAAGGTGAAGTGTGCAAAATTTCATCAGGATCGGAAGGAAACGGTAGTAATTACAAACAAACGGGCACTCTCCATTGCAAATGTAGATGATTTTAATGAATCCAACTAGTGTAATTTCACGTCCAAATAGTGATTAATGATAACTGAAATAATGGTTCTAGCTACCATCGTTTTCCTGCATTTATTGCTTTTAAATCGCTTAGTTTGTTAATTAATATCAAAATAAATTTGAAAGAAAAATATCTTATGCTTTTCTCAATAGCAAATACTG